AGGCGGACGAGCTTTTTGAAAACGGTCTTTTGCATGATATAGGGGCAGATGCGGGAACCACAGAACCATGTTCAATTTTTCCTGAACGGCCCTCTGAATACCAGAAAAGGAGGTCCCTAGTTCGATTCCTCGTGGTAACAAATTTTTGCATTTCGAGTTGACGTGCCAAAATTCGCGCAAAATGGAGTTAGAACCAACCAGAACAATCAGAACTCCATTTTGCGCGAATTTTGGAACGTCAACTCGAAATGCAAAAATTTGTCACCAAGAGGAATCGAACTAGGGACCCCCTTTTCTGGTATTCAGAGGGCCGTTCAGGAAAAATTAAACATGGTTCTGTGGTCCCGCATCTGCCCCTATATCATGCAAAAGACCGTTTTCAAAAAGCTCGTCACGCCCTGAAAGACCTTCCTGGTAAGTGCAAAATGCTGCAATGTTTAAAACGTAATTAACAGCATACAGTACTCCTTGGTGAGTAAATTTGCTAGCGCGCAATACACCAGACAGCTAAGAGTTGAAAAAATGGTCCCAGGGTTGACAGAATACCAGTAAAGCGAATTCCGCCTCCTATCAAGGCTTACGTTTTATTGGATTTTAATACATTTTCATTTTTGATTTGTTCTTTTCTTATGTGGAGATTATTAATCCGCAATTTTCATATGTCAACTAGATTTTTTTAATTCTGTGAATTTCCCATGATTTCATGGCATGACGTTAGAAACGTTATAGAAGGGCTTCGACGAAGGTGTAAGCATTTCTAAGCGCTAATTCGTTGCGGAGAAGAGAGGTAGGACATCCAAGTGAATGAGCCACGTACAGCACTTTAGACTATGCCTTATGAAGGGAAGGGATTCTGAAAGAGGATATGAACAAATTTTAATCATCTCTGCCTCTACTGGCATTCAACTAACTGTCTCCATGTTCGGCCTTTGCAATAAGCGACGACATGGAGAGTCCGCCCGTATACAGATAAATAAATACACACTTAGTTAGCGTCACATATGTACCAGCGATTTTCTAATACCCCATTTTTAAAGTCCCCTCCCCCCTCCAAGGCAACGAGCGCCCATTTCTCAAGCCTTTAGTCCGAGTTGGACCCTCTGAAAATGGTTGAATTGTCGAAATGTTTTGAAATAAATCACCCATCTAACAACCCTCTGGTACATGTATCCATAAAAAACCCAGCGGCCAGTTACCGTTTTTCAAAGTAACGACCAGTTTTTATTTTGAAGAGAAATCTGAGCCGCTTGAACGAGTGAACCTTGTGAACCTTTCGAGGGGAGTGGGGTCGCCCAGTACTTGGAGCGCTTTTCCAACAAGCTTGTGGATATTCTATAGGCACATTCATGGAAGGCAAAAAAAGGAAGTCCATTCTCGCTTAGAAGCCTTGAAAAACCAACGATGTTGCGAAAAGAAAACAAACTGCAGAAAAAATGTCATCTCGAGTCTCATTAGCTGTCCTTTTACCTCAAAAAGGGCTAATTAGTACTTGCAAAGTTCTTTCTATTGAAAATGTAATTTTTCAGTTGAAGTAAATGCACAGTTCGCTGTAAATGTCAATACAATCTCAGAAAACTCGAGACCAAAACCGAATAAATCTTATCAGTTTAGCACAAATGGCGCTGCGGTCTACTCTTTGGAGCGAAAATTGAACGAAAAGAATCCTGGCGCTACCGAAATGGCATTGTTGGAGTGAGTGCTTTTTTCTGATCTGGAACTCTCCAGCTTACTCTAACGCCTAGAATTCTCCATTTAGCGCGCTGTCTCGTCACGCACCACACTCCTTGACGGTTTACGCATCGCCAGAATCCGAACGAGAGATAGGATTTGTACGGGCGTTGACAACGGCGGAACTGCAAGCGGTCAGCAAACCAGCACCACTGGAGGTCGAAATATACAGCCCCACCGAGATCGACCTAATCGACACTGATCTTCTGGAATTGAGGTAGGTGGAGTCGAAGTTGACGGAGGTTTCCTTTCCAACGAAAAATGCACCTTTTTCTTGCGGCGGGGTGACATAGATGCGGCATCCGACAGCATCAGCAACGTCAAAAACACACCCTCTCCCCGTTGAAGTGCTCTCAACGAATTCTGGTCAACACTCAGACGGGTTCCCTGCTCTTCAAAGGCATTTAGCATCACAGAGGTCTCCTATGGATATGTTTTACGTAACTTAGCTGCCTCCCCTCATGGTAGAAGATGTTTCGGAAGGGTTCAGTAACCAGTCTATAGACCCTGAATTTCTGAAAAAAAAAACGCGGATAAGCTTTACGAAATATATTACGCTGAACACGCATGGGGTCCATCAATCAAAAGAGGATTCCATGTGAAGGACGACGGTGGAAAAAGGGGAACTTACTTGGTGTGGAATACAGGCGCACCCATAAGCGTACGCGGACCAACACGCGATTCGCATCGAAGGATATGCCCCCAGCGATCTAGCATAGACTTTCCCTTTGGCGCAATTGGCCCGGAACGCCCACCCGACTATCTAATCACTCGCTCTCAGGTCTAGCGGCGAGTGATTAGATAGCAGAGAGAGCGTTAGCGATTAAGCGGACACAACGATGAGAATGGCGAATCAGCGGGCAAAGGGGTCCCATTTGTAGGGTTCCTGGTTGTGTCACATGGTTCTTCTTCATCCCTGCCCCACTGACCCCTCTACCTTTGTTTCCGGTAAACTAGCTTTCCCAATTTGAATGAACCCACGACCACGGGTCAACCGTCACGTTGGACAAATTTCAAGAATTTTTACGACCCCTCCTTCCTTGTGGAGGGCCTCGATACGACCCCCCAGGGTCAACCCTACCGTTGGTACTTTTTTGGAAATTTTTCACGACCCCCCTCCACCACCATGAAACTCAGGAGGAATAACACCATCACCCTTACCATCAAGAGCGTCTGAAAACCAAGTCACTGACACAGTCCAACTCCCGCCGCATTTCCTACGGAATAACCGGTCGAGCGGAGATGGGGCCACGGTATAAATAGATGACGATATATCAATAGTGAATGAAACGCCAAATTTTTTTCTTAGCTTTCACAAAGCGTAAAGCATCACACTACAACCCCCCGTTGGTGTAGGGCCCGGATTTACCTGGCCCTCCGAACCTTGCCAATACCCCCCCGTTTTCGTCGAACCGAAGTGGACTTGACCAACGGACGGTGACAGCCCTGCTCAACTGTACTTGTTCCAAGAAAAACCCGGCCAGCCCTAATTCAATAATTTCAGCTTCCACATTCACACATAGTTTAACAAAAGCTGCCCTTGAGTAGCTCGTTTATTTACACAAATATCAACCGAAAAAGTAGAATTAGAACGATTCCGCCCATCTTTCAGAAGTGGAGAAGAGCTAACTGCCGTAGGAGCACAAGTTGGTCACCTTTGGCTCTCCGGAAGAGTTCAATACAAAGCGCTCAACCGATAAAAACAATTATTCGTGCTACTTCTGGCCACGGTAAGCGATGTTAGGGAGAAAAAAATCAATGGAAGGAAGTTTTAACACGGCTCAGTGAAGTTGACCACCTGACAATTTGTAGCCTGGCGGGTAAAACGCTGATTGATCCTGCTCCCGTGCCTAACACAGAGTAACCTCTCCCGGTGTATCTTTGAAGGCACTCATTAACTGAAGGAACTTCGGGTGGAATCATGCCGCTTCTGTGGGTAATTTAGAGGTAGTACGTATTTGATGTGCTACCTTTGTGGTTTAAAATTGCGCAGCGAAGCTCCGCACTCAAAAAAATGCTTCCCCCGCAAAACCCGCCCTCAGTATCTTCGTCTGTTCGCTTCGTTTCGGCCAATTCCTTGATCCTCTCTTCGTTTTCAAGATTTGTTTTCTCTTCCACTTTGGCAGCAGTGCTTCTAGTGTTTTAGTACGTATCTCCTTCTAACCAAAAATCTCGATCCCCAACAGTTTGGTTTTTTTTTGGTGTTGAAGATATTTGTCTTCCTTCTTATAAAAAGATCAGCCAATCGTACAACAGTCCAAATATTTAAGTCCAGTCTGATTTAGGCGGTCTAGCGGCATCTGACTTGCTTCGTCGCCTTGTAGAAAGTCGCGTAGATGCCTGTTTTGAGCATTTTTTGCTGACCATGAGCTCCAACGAAGTGTGTGTGGGAAACAGCTTATCCACGCGTCTTCTAGCAAGTGCGGCGGCGGCCGTCACGTCAAATTTGTAGCCCAGCCTAATCAGAAAGCAAGATATGGAACCGTATCTCTGCTTCCATGATTCAAAGCGAAACTACCATACCTGTTTGGTCGTTGGGTGAGACTTCAAAGCGTAAGGCTTAGTCGACGGGGCTTATTTACTGAAGAGAACGGGACTGAGAGTAACTTTATAGCTGACATATAGGAAGTAGCTCATTCTGGCTGGCTCCGGGATGGAGTTTTACGACCACCCATTTATCGCTCCCGATCTGCGGCCAATTTCGCTTTTATTCCGATTCTCAGCCTCAGTCCTAAAGGACACAAATACCACCGTATTTCTCAGTGAATTTCTTACATTCTTATGTGTTTGCTCTATTACGCGTGAGATTCGAACGATTACCTATTGCTATTGTTCTTGAAGTGAGTAAAGCACTTGTAAAATGAGAGTTTTTTTCAGTGCACAGCGTCAGCCTGCATGCTTTCAATCTATGGGCAAGAACTTCGAACGTGGCCAAATTCTATGAAGGTAGAAGGTTTTATTTGAAACAAGTTTTTCTTATTTCTCATAAAAAAGTCTCAGTTTTTGTATTCACAGCTCCATATTTTGTCTTCATTTTCACCTTGCCGTTGCGTTAATCCACTTTATTTTCAAAAAACCCCACGGTAGTTTAAAGAATGACCAACAATTCAAAGGATTGCCGCCGTATCGGGGACTTTTCTACAAAATTGTGAAGTCATCACTCAACTAGTTCTATATTTTCTATTTTATTTTCTTATTATTCCTATTATAATAATAGTAATAATAGTAATAATAATGGTAATAATAATAATAACAATATTAATATGTTGAGGAAATGCCTGATTTTCTCTCTAGGCCTCCTCAGCGAAAGTTTGACAACTGTTGTCACTTGTTTGTTATATTTTATATTTTTTATTCTGTTTTCAACTATTTCTATTTTTTCTACTTATTTATTTCTATTATTTATTACTATTACTACTTAAAATTTATTTTTATTGCCTATTATTAATTATTTATTTTATTTCGGTTTATTATTCCTGTTTCATTTCACCATTTACAAAACCTTTTTTAAGATGTAATACTTGCTCATGTTGAATGTCATAACCACCCTGACTACTGTGATGGTCTCGACCGGAAAGATTTTCACACGATCGTCGCTTACAGGTAAAAATGCACATCATTATTCCTTTTCTTCGAACTAAAAGGTCAACATTCCGGTAAAATTTCCCCAGCAGCTGGGTGTGCTTGCGATTTTGATGCCATACTAGATGGATGTAGTATTTGGGATTCTTGAAGGGGATTGGCCTGATGGTGGGATAGTAAAAAAATAGTGGAAGGTACTGTTAGTGGTTCCCATGGCGTCTAAATCTGCATTCAGGGTTGTCGCGGCTATTTTAGCCTCAATATGGTCCCGGCCATGGATATGCCATCTGATTTTGACATTTAGCGCCCTTTTTGGGGAGGGGGGGGGGACACTCGTACTCGTACTCGTAGGCGCCAGCCACAACCCAAATGCAAAATTTAGTCGCCGCGGGGGATCGAACCATCAACAGTACCTTCACCACTTTTTTGGTACTGCTAAAACCGTTCAGCGAAAATGAAACATGGTTTTGTGTTCCCTACATGCGTCCCTACAATATGCAAAAAACCGTTTAAAAACACCTTTCTTGCCTTAAAAGACCTCCCTCGGCTTCAAAAACCCAGTCTTTTTATGAGTAACAGATCTTGTTAAGGAATGGAGACAACATTGGATCGACTTATTACCTTCGAGATGAGAAATACTATTTGCAATGGATGTACTTGTAAGTCCGTATGTGTATAGATCCCTCATTTCTTGCTGTTGGAAATACCCCTTATCTCCTCAAAATCCACTTATGATATGTATTTTTCTATAGTAGCCAATGTGTCATACTTTTCATTCTTTTTCACACCCATTCTTTCTCCTTCTCATGGACCGCTAATGAAGCCTGCCTTGAAGACTGGTCTCCCGGTCGCATCTGAACTTCGGCAACGACCGCATCTTGATGAAAAAGCCCAAAAAAGGTCGGTTATCAAATGTCCGCAACCGTGACTGCTAGCCATGGCAGCCTTTTGTTCACCAGAAAATTCCAGGGAAATTTCGCGAACGAAAATCAAGGTCGCAAATACGTCTTTGTCGACAACTCACACAGTTTCCCTATTCGGAAGTAAAGGATGATCTTTAATGTGTGGGCGAGGGGCGATAGGGGGGGGGGCAATAAGTCTTGTACCGACTCAGGCTAGCCTTTGCAGCAATTTAAGGAAGTGAATCTGAACATTGCAATTGTCGTTGTCGTTGTCGTTGCAGATTTGGGGGCGGGGGGAGGGACATAAATGAGTGAGCCATTACTAAGTTGGGGTCAACTTTTAGAGGGGAGACAAGCGCTTCTGCGAGGTCTTGTGAGCAACTGTGCTCTTCACTCGCTATTTGCTCCCTGCCCCATGAAGCCTAGTTCTATAGTCAACGTCCAGTTTTGAGTGTCCCCGCACCCCTTCCTGAGGCTATGAGCGTTTGAAAAGAGGTCTTGTTTTTCATGTTGATCCACGGAGAATCGACCCCAACACTCCTTCACCCTATCACTGTGTGAGGTAGTTGCTGCCCATCGATGCTGGAGATTCAGAATTCGACATCTCGATTTGTGAATGACTCGGAAATCATTCATACTCGCTACCCCCTCCTTCCCCTCTTATCCGATCAAGGGTCTCGTTCTTCTAAATGAACCTTAAGTATGGACTTTTACAATTTTGTAAAATTGCTTAATTTCTGAATTTAGGTCTCATGTTTGGTTCCGAGCCACATCCGGTTACTATTGGAACGTTTCCCGATCGTGACTGTTCTGAATATCAGCATTTCAAACTCGCCGCTGATCGACTTCAAGGACGATACTTTATGGCCGTTATTATCAAACATGGGTAAGCAATATTCTATCAGCATATCACTGAAAAACTTAACGGTCGAGGCAGAGTAGTGACAAGGACTCATCACATGCCATAAGCACTTGGGTCAAGTTCGGGACCAACCTCGCTCTAACCAATCAATCCTACCATCGCCTAGGACTGATTAGTGAACTCTAGAGGATGAATAGCTTCTAGTTTTTCCAGCTATGCCCTCTTTTCTTTAGCAGACTAGTTTTGATGAATATGACTAGCTTAGATGATTACTGGCAACCTTCTGTAATTTTTGTGAATAAATAGCACTCAATGTAGCAACGATGTTAAATCAAAACTCCTATACTCAACGCATCTCAGGCATTACCCAGCTCCACAAAAAACAATAAATGAGCGGGGGATAATTGCGAAAGTTTGATTGGCGAGGCCGCACTTGCGCGGCGCATTGGTCCACGAGTGTTAGGTGTGCGGCGTGAGGCGCGCGCATCGCGCAGTCGTCAATGTATTGAATATATGGTATGGTTATGGTTGATAAAGAAAATGTCAAACAAAGACATAAAAATGCCGGTTCGGTACTCAATAGACTACTAACCTACTAGCAGTCTGTTGAGTACCGACACGGCATTGAAACTTGAAAAATGCCCTTGAATCGTCGGAAAATCCTGACGAATTAGTGACTGTCCACCAGATAGATTGTAAAATACAGTTAATTCTGCTGTACCCAAGGTTCACGAGGCGCGCGCGTAAACTTCAGCGTTTCTCAGAGGGCAGGAAAAAATCACTGAAAAAAATTGACGTTCCCTTGGCTCAGAAGAGAATGGAATTTATCCACGATGTTTTAGGAATAAAAGAGGCATCCAACATCAAAGGCTTGCATTTGTCTGCATATACAAGGGAATTTGATTGAAAATAACATCATGTTTTGGGGGCCTTTTAATGGCCTCCCCATATCTTATCGAGTGGACTTATGTAACTGTCAAAACCTAGCAAAAATTACATATTAAAGGGACACCAACAAAACTCCAATTTCAGAAGCGCTAGTACCGTTACCACATACCGGCCAACCGAGAAGCAGAGGCGGCGAGACTATGACGGCAGATTCGATCCGGCCTCCCTAATGGCCTTCGTATCAACAGCATCGTTTCCCAGCGTGGTATGTGGGCAAATTAATAGGTTAACAACAACAATGACATGACAAGCAAGGACAAGCTGTACAGATCTGTGTAATCATCGATCACGAAGATCTCACAAGCACTTCCACGTATCGTGGCCTCTGGGCAGAAGTGGTGTGGTGCTGCTTGCCACGCGAGCGGTCCGGGGATCAAATCCTGGGTCGTGAGTCGCCCGGGCCAACCAAGCCTTCCATCCCTCCGGGGTCGGTTAATTGGTACCAGACTTGTCTGGGAGGATAAAAACACTGACTTGTACATCGGCTGGCCCCCGCAAGTCATTGTATAGGCCACATCGCATTCAAACGCCACTACGAATGTACAAATGGAAGTAGAATGCGTGCCGCATCCCAAAAAGGGATTGATCAACGGCAAATTATTTATCCTTTTATCCTGAAAAGGGTGTTTCACTGGCCATGCCGCACAGGCGCTCAGAGATTCTTGCTCTGCTCTTGTATGGCTCATGAGTGGAAGACGTGTGCGCTTCCGGCGGTACATCTGTTAGGCGTAGATTCTTGAATTGAGCATTGCTTTCAGAAGATACATACTGTCTGGTACATGAGAAATGTCCCGATCCTCATTCATTTGCTGGAAGTTTCAAAAAATTCTAATCCCCCAAAAGAATGTTCCGAGGGTCACCCTTCCACCCCTCACCTCACATGCACCACGTTCGTCACTTTTTAGATTTCTGGGGACAGAGCTGTGAAAGTATTTCGGGTAGAACTAGATTCAGCGCCGTTATCTACCAAGAGGTTGGGCCATCTTTTTCAAAACGGCCACGCATCACGGTTGACCCAGTCCCGGTAGAACATGCGCTACCCAGTGGAAAGTGCTATGGCAAAACCATCCGAAGATATTTTACCAGGATATTGGCATGATGGGCAGAATTTGTACAGTGGTAAGTTAGTGCAACCACTAGCTGCTCGCACGCAGATCAAATCCCATGTCGTATGCTATTTTTATTGGTATCAGAGATCTTTGGGAGGGTAAAAACAAGGGCTTTTGCCCTCACGGGTCAGTCACTGTATAGGACAGACCGCATGGAATGCCACCACGGATCTTAATGGAAATTAAATTTCGTGGCGCATACTACAGAGGGACCGTTCAACTTTATATCTCCGGCTTTATGTTCTACTGGCACCACAATGTAGGCAAGCCTGCAAGGGATTCCCGCTTTGCTGCTCCCGGTTGCCTTTTGTGGTCACTTATGCTTTTGAAGAATCAAAAAAATATGTGTAAAATAAATGAATAAAAGGGAACTTTTCAGGAAATAAATGTAAGAGTTCCAGGTTGACATTTCACGAGGATTCACAACGAATCTTCTATTCCGACAACCACGTAAGGTAGCCATTCTGGTGGCTTCCCTCTCATTCGACAACTCTTCCTATACTAGCTTGGCTACAAGGAAAGATGCGAGAAAAGCCGTCGTTTTCACTTTTATGAACAGGTACCAAGTAAATACAAGTACTGAATAACGTTTAAGAAAGATTCTACCACATTCAGCCATAAATTCTATGATAAAATTTTGGTTTGTTGTTTTTAATTATGTTTTTTTTTACTAACGAACAACCATGTCAAATTAATTTTGGAACCACTAAAGGGAAAGTAAGTAAAATTTGCCTTTTCATGGCCTTAACACGTCATTTCGGTCGAACTTCCATTACTGTAACTCCCGATAAGCTAGACAGATCGAACATCATTGAAAACACTTCATCGCATCTAAGTATTGCGTATTTACAGCTCAAAATCCATGGATTTGGTGTGCGGCGGCTGCGCTCGCAAAATCGCTCTTGTCCCACGCGGTGCAAAAACAAAACGCGCGATGTCGTCAACGTGTTAAGATAGATAAAAGGTCCTGAGAAAATAAAGACTCTATTTAGAGGTTCCAACCTGCACCAGTGCTGAGGTGTTTTTTTTTGAAGCATTTATTCTTGGAGGCCTTGCTGCACCCCCCCCCCTCCCTCCCTTCATATTTCTCGTTTACTGACCCAAATTTCTCTCAAATGTTTCTCTTACAGCCTAGATTTCTTCCAAATTCCAGAGACCTTGAAGTGGTTGAAGAAGTCATGAAGCAGTTTAAATTTGAGTCTGACAAGACTCCTCAGTTACTCCTATTGGACAAGGTAAGCGATAATTCTATCTCGCATGGTCGTTAGGTCTCCTGGAGCGTCCGCTGTCTTTTTAGCTTCACGTGCACAAGCTTCCGCTGGACCCATCGATAACTTCAGATCGAATCTGGGAGTGGATTCAAACAAGGGATGAGGCGGAGACTGGTAGGTTGCTTCAGTTGGAATGGCGTAGCTCTCGTGGGAATTTGAAAAACGTTTACTCATTCAAGAACTTTAATTTTTAGTGAAAAGTAGTAGCGAAAGAAAAGCGGGCAGAAAGTGAACGGCTCTCTCCAAATGGGAGTATTAGAGCACATGATTGGCCCGCAGGACCACTCCTACACTTTGTTTCTCGCGATGAGACCTGTCGTAATACCAGACTTCGTCACATATGTACATCGGACAGCATCGAGTGCACCGAAAAGAACATTCAAAATTGGTTTTTTTTTCGAGGCCGTTGACTCATGTTCTAACGAGTCCGCAATTGCGACAGGTGCCAGCGGGGAAACATAGAGCTTATGGATATCCTCTTCTGTATCCCGCTTATCTCTCTGTGCTATAACACTTTACAGTTTCCAGTGAGGAGAAAAAATTGGCCAAAAATTCAACTCCACTGGTAAATAACTGATTACCCTAATTCAAATGTGATATTCTT